AAGGGGTAATATTGTTGTCTGTTTTATTGTATCTATTTTTATTGGTCAATGACCGAAATAAATATGAAAATATGATGATCAGTGATGGGGACTTTGTAACCACCTTTTCAGAACTACCAATGGGATGAGGGATATCAAGAACGGAAATATAAGAATCATGAATGTCAAACTCTGCTTATTGGCCCCAGTGAGAAAAAGTCGCCATCTGCTCAACAACTGAAAACATACCAAGTTGATCTAGTACCCTCAAATGGAATTAATCTAGTTCCAGAGAGTGGAGTAATTGATAACTAATTCCTACTCCATCTTGAACTGCTATCTTATTTATGAACTTCCATTAATTTTATTATGATTTTCAGTGCTATTGTTGTTGTTCAGGGAGAAAATCTGTCTATGTGGTTGCTAGGAGTCAAAAACAACTTGATGGCACATAATCAATTAATTATTGTTATTACAGTTGGTTTTATGTTTTTTCTTATTTGATGTTTGCCACTTGAAAACTTTATGGCAGAGCAGAATACACCTGCTAGTAAATAAGTAAACCAATCAATCAATCTTGAATCCTCTCTCCCGTTCATTATTCACACTGTTTTTGTGTTTTGTGAGGTTGTGGATCATTCCATCTTTGAAGAACAGTTGAGCAAAATCCACGTTGAGCAGTTCCTCCACCCTAACATTTTTCACATACATACTAAACTGCCAGTTCCTTCCTTTTTCTCTGACCATAACCATATATCAAGATAAACAACCTGAAATGTCATTGAAGCTTAACCAAAGAGAATTAGGACAGAGCAGAGAATTAAGTGGCAGGGTAGCCAAGCTGCTGTCGAAAGGTCTTTGGGCTGATCAGTGATGGCCTAGGTATCTATAGAAGGCAAATACAAAATGTATATCACAATGTTACAACACAACCCCATCCCGCTACGTATTTGTGTGTGATGTAGCAGTGCAAGCACAAAAGGATGGAGCTTGCGTCATGACATCACAGTGCATGTTTTGTCATTTTGGCTTCCTTGTGGTTAGGAAGGAACAACCCTAGAAATGGTGGGGAACAACCAAATCCAGGCATGTGTCAAGTCACCAGTGATCATAAACCTACTAGATAGAAAAGCTATTTCAATCCCATAAGGTGCCAGCTCATTCCCATTTACTAGGCTGATCTGAAGTATTTTACACAATTTTTTTACTTTCCAGTATTGACATATACTCACTTTTACATATTTACAGTACTGAAAATCCGGCTGAACCGAGAAACCCAGGGAAAGGTACTTTTTATTTATTTAGTTTTAACATTTATGTCCTTCACAAGCACAGCTGCTGAAGTCTTCTCAAGCTAGTATGCAATTATGAAAACCTGCTAGGCTTCCTAACACAAATCCTGCCAGTTAGCTGTACTTGGAATAATATTATTTCATAATTTCTTCTTGTGGTGGTAGAAGTCAGGAATAGCCTCCTAGACCAACACAGTTACATCCTTTTTCAGAACAGAGCTCACCAGCACACTAGTCTACTCAAGGTATCTAGAATAGTTCACACAATTGCCTGCAGCTCTTCCTCATTGCATGTAGGATAAGCAAGAAGCACTGCAGGTTCATCTCCTTCCCCCACATCCACCCATTTCTTCCATGCGTCTAAGCATGGAGGGGTGGAATCTGTAACCCTCAGATATTACCGATCTCAAGTCCTTATCAGGATGATCAGGAGTCAGGGAAGATGGGGAGTTGTATTCCAATAAACACCTGTCTCCAAGCAAATAAATGATGGCCCAAGCCAGACATTTGATCTGACCTTGGAGATTGCAAAGAAACACGCAAGTTATGCCTTTAGATAGAGCATCTGTTTTGTATCTTATGTAGATGTACAGGTAGTCCTCAGTTAACAATGGTAATTGGGACCAGCAATTCTGTCGCTAAATGGTGCAGTTATGAAGTGCAATGTCACAGCAATTCCAGTAGTTCCAGTTGTGGTCGTTAGGCAAATCCCATGTGGTTGTTAGGCATGATGTCATGTGATCGCCATTTGCAACCTACTGCCATCTTCCCCATTGACTTTGCTTGTTGGAAACCGGCAGTAAAGGTCGAAAATGGTGATCACGTGACTGTGGGATGCTGCAAACATCGTAATTGCAAGCCAGTTGCCAAGTGCCTGAATTGCAATCACATGACAGCACAACTTTGAAGACCAGCCATAAATCTCATTCAGCACTGTCGTAACTTCGAACAGTCATTGAACAAATGATTATTAACCAAGGACTACCTGTATAGCACCTAAAAAGCTTGCCTAGATACTATCCATATAAATTGAGTTATTTTAGCTGAGTGGGTTTAGATATGCTCCAACATAGTTCTGGCAGGTATGAAAAAGATACCTGTCAATCTGCTGACAAGTTATCCTAAGGCTACCCAAGACTTACATAGGAATTAACACTTAGAAATAAGAACTCAGTTGAAGATACATTTGATGGAGTAAATATGCAAGAATCAGTTGCAAGCACTTTTAACCGTGAAGATTCCAAGAGCAAATGTAAAAGCTTTTAGAGATGTTCATTTTGCTGTTGGGTAACATACAGCAGATTTCCCAGCATGCTCTGACAAATGGTGTACTACCTGGGTGGTTTAATAATAGAGTATTTATTGTTTCATTGCATGATACAGGTGTACCCTCAGAGCAAAGTACATATTTCAGATAATATTACTGGAATGTAACAGTAGTTATTCAAATTACAGCTTAAATCAAGGATAGACTATAGCAATAGATAGAAATACATTTTCCCCATCTCAATGTCTTCCAGTTGTACTGGGCTTCTATAATTATCAGACTCTCCAACTTGAGCTCAGCAGAAAACTACTCAAGTACTAAAGACAGATTAGCATCGTTATTACAGCCAAGATGAAGCCACTTTACCCAGCTGATTGCTTTCTGTCAACAGAAGAGCCCACATCCTCTGTAGTTTAAATTCTGGGTTTCTTTTTCCTGCCTTTCCTTTGGCTTTGCATTTGGCACTAAGTGGCACTTGGTTTGGATGGTTATTGACATAGTCAACATTCCTGTCCTGAGAAACTTTAGTTCTCAATGGAGCTGACCCTCAAATCCCCAGCAAGTATGGCTGGTTAATTGTGGACATTGGAGTCACATTTACAGGACACAAGGCTGGGAAAAGACGGTAAAAAGGAGTATTGCTTTTAATCAACTAGTCCATGGGAACCATTATTTGAAGTATGGCAATAGTACTTAATAACAGTGTTAGCTAAACAATAATAGGTACAAGTAGTCCTCAGTTAACAACAGCTCTGTTTAGCAACCATTTGAAGTTACCACAGTGCTGAAAAAGTAACTTTACCACTGGTCCTTGCATTTACCACCGTCACAGCATCCCCATGGTCAAGCGATTGAGATTCGGGCACTTCGCAACTAGTGGGCTTTCCTGACTGTCACAGCATCCCATGATCACCATTTGCATGCTTCTTGCTGGCTTCTGACAAGCAGAGTCAATGGAGAAGCTGGCAGTAAAATTGCAAGTTGTGGTCACGGGATGTCTCATTTAACAATCATGTCACTTAGCAATGGAGTTGCCAGTCCCAATTGTGGTTGTTAAGCAAGGACTACCTGTGTACCAGTGTGATGTACTGAATTATGAACTTGATGAAGATCAGTACAGCTTATGATGTAAGGCTCTTAAATCAAAAGCTATTGTTATTGTTGTTATTCATGGCTGTTGGTCATGATAACTATATGATACTTAACAGGATTAGGAGCAGCAGGCCTCTGAATACTAGCCACTGGGTAATATTAACAGAATGGTCCTACTGAATACATGTCCTGTTTACGGGCTTCTGTAGGCATTTGGCTGGCTACATTGAGCCAGGATGTTGGACAAGATATCCTTTTGATCTTAATCAATGGAGCTCTTACATTTTAACAACAGCATGAAGGCTGGACTTCCTTCTGGTACAGAAAGCTAGGAGGAGAATCCAAACTACGGACCTGTTTTGTAAATATGCCTCATATTTCAATTATTCAATTAAAGCAAGCTAGGCTGAAAAAAATCAGAGTTTAAGATTAATAAAAAAATAAAATAAACAAATAAATATGTGGTCCCAGGTTGCTCATGATTTGCCCTGGTTCAGAGCCCTTATTCCCAAAGAAAATAATCAAATTGCTTCCTATATTCCCATTTAATGTTGAAAAATGGGTTATTTTTATACTGTCTGGCTTCAAAGAACATGTCCTGATACTAGTTTATAGAGAATGCTTTTTTTTTTTACCCCAGAATATGTAAGGTAGCAATAGCATCACTTTCCTGATATTATAATTCAAACCAATGGAATGAATTGTTTCTGCCCTACTACCTGCCCCTATTAACTTTGTAGGAAGTAAGAGTTCCACAACAGCAAAAAGTGTTGAGCCAGAAGGCACCAACAAGCCACTAGTGTTCCGGCTACATGATAGTGTACCTGCATTAGTTCGTGAAATTTTATTGGAACGTGGTTGGATTGAGTATGATGAGCATGAACAAGACAACGAAGACTGGAACCTCTACTGGAGGAATTACCCTTTCCGGATGACAGACCACCGGAGCATCAAACCATGGCAGAGGCTCAATCACCATCCAGAAACCATCAGGATCACCCGGAAAGATTATTTGGCAAGACATCTGAAACGCATGAAGGGAATTTATGGAACAACCCTTTATGAGTTCAGTCCAGTGGCTTTCATCATGCCCAATGACTATATAAAATTTATAACTGAGTACTCCAAGGAGAGGCAAATACCAGGAAAAAAGCTGAGTTACTGGATCTGCAAGCCAGTTGATAGATCTCGTGGGAGAGGCATACTCATTTTTCAGGACATTAAGGATTTTGTTTATGACTGCATGGTAATTGTGCAAAAGTATATCAGCAACCCCTTGCTTATTTCTGGATACAAATGGGACCTCCGTATTTATGTTTGTGTTACAAGCTTTTGCCCCCTTACAATTTATATATACGAAGAAGGACTGGTGAGGTTTGCAACAGAGAAGTTTGACCTTGGATCCCTTGACAACATTTATGCTCACTTGACAAACACAAGCATCAATAAGTTTGGACCATCATACAGAAAGGACAAAGAAGGCATTGGTTCTGGTTGCAAATGGACTTTCAGCAGATTCCGGGCCTATTTACGGAGCTGTAGTGTTGATGACCTGCCCCTGTGGAAAAGCATCAACCGTATAGTCATACTAACTTTGTTGGCTATCACTCCTTCAGTACCATTTACTTCCAACTGCTTTGAGCTCTTTGGGTTCGACATTTTGGTTGATGAAAAAATGAAACCCTGGCTTCTAGAAGTAAACCACAGTCCAGGCCTGCGTTTAGACTGTGCCACCGATGCCATTGTGAAAAGAAAGCTGCTCCATGACATTGTCGACTTGCTGAACTACAAGGAAGCGGATACTCTAAGAAAAAGCAGAGGGGCCAGTCGGAGGCTTTCATGCTTCAGCCGAACGCAATCTTTGCTGGCCGCCCAGTCGGAGGTCCCGCTGGATTTCCTAGCTTGTGGGAAAGGAACCAAGTCAGCAGCAACTTCCCCTTCTCCATCATGTTTGCAGATCAATAAAAGAACACCCACATTTGACAGAATAGGTAGCACATACCCTAGGAAAACTTTAACCTCACAACTACGTGAAAGGATGAACATGCCCAAAACATCTATCCAATCAAAGCCATCATCCAAGAGCAAACAGATGTTAAGAACTAGTCATTCTCTATGTGAGTCTGTGCAGTCCACACACTGGTTTAATTCACTAGAACTCTACACCCACAAGCCAACTATTCCTCCCTATTTTCTCTCAGATAAAGACAGGCGGCCATTCCCCCGTGTAGGTGATTTTATCCTTATATTTCCTTTCAATGATGCAGCACTTGAAGCATCTAGGAATGGGATAAATGTCAAAACTGTAATACAGGAAATCCATAAGTTAATGAGTAAAGAATTACAACCAAAACATCAGAAGTTAAATTAGTTAATCAGTAGGCAAATGGGTTAAACAAACCTATATTCTTTTTACACAAGAGAGCTTGAAAGTTGATGCAAAAAATATAATTCATGCTATATCTTATATTAGACTTCCCCAACCTGATGCCCACCAGATGTGCCAGACCAACACCTATACTTCTCAGACAATAAAATCAGCAGACTCCAACACATCTAGCAGGTGGGAAATTTTGGAAGTCTGTTCTATGCACTTCCAGATTTTCTTTCTTTCTTCCTTTGAAATAATTCTCTTCTCAATATAAGTGCAAAATGTTGAAAAATGTGCAACGGTCTTCAAAATATTATTATAAAAGTAATGGGAAGGAAAGAGATCAAATATTAACCAGTTTATTCACATTAATGCATTTTAATCAGTAAACAGTACAAACAAGCAATGTATCAGTTGTATTATTCTATCATTGTTTAATTTTAAAAAGACTTCTCACCACTTTCAACTTCCTTGTATTCAAGTTTAGCATCAAAATTACAAAAGTAAAAACCGAAGGTCAGACTGCTTGTTTCCCACGTACATGTCAAATATACAGAACGCTTATCTGTGGTTTCACATAGACATATTCATCCACATATCCATCCTGTCTCTAAAGGACCCACACAGGATCCAAACACATCTTCTACTCACAAGACATGACACCAGTTCAGCCTTCCCCAACTCAGCACCTTCTAGATGAGTTGGACTACAAGCCCCATCATCCCCCTTTCATTCTTAGCCATGTAGATAGAAATGATAAACATTATACTCCAACACTTCTAGAGATCACCAGCTTGGAGAAGGATGTATCTCAGGGAAACAAACAAATAAAAAAACAGCCAAGTGACAGGCAGACTCAGACACTGAACTCCCGAACAGGAAACATTTTAGTATCTGAATCTCTTCATACAGATGGAAAAATATTATGGATACTCACTCCTGAGTAATGAAGCCTATCTGGATGCAAATGTTTATCCAGGTTTCATTTCACTGGCACTTATGGCATTTCTGTGACATATGGTTTATTTTCACATACTTACAAGGTGAGTATAAAATGAAGGTTCATAGCATTGGAGTCCTATTTACTTGAAGATTTCTAGAGAGCTCCATTATGCCATTTAATTTCTTGAAAAGAACTCTGCCAGCTCAGCTCCCCCACTTTTTTTGGAGTGGGGGGAGCTACCTTCCTGTTGCATATAAACAGCCTTTTCATTCAGCAACCCCTTGACTGGTGTGTGTGTGTGTGTGTGTGTGTGTGTGTGTGTGTAGTCATCTCCACTCACCCATTAGCCATTCTAGCTCCAGAAACATCTATTCTTATTGCTACCTTTTGACAAGTGTTAAGAGGCATTGCCCCAGCCTCCTGGGCTGAAAGATGAATTTTCTGGCCAGGTTACACACATTGGCTTAAGCAACAATACAGTTGGTTTGAGTTTAGCTTAGCTTGATGCCATTGTAGTTTGTAAACCACTGTTTATGGGTTAGCATGTTATGAGAATCCAGTCAGTTATGACTAATTCAACAAACTGTGACTTAACAAACAATGGCTTAGCTAAGCACTGAAACCTCAAAACCAGGATTCTGGGGAGGTAATCTTAATCAGATCAGAACTGGTGATATTTTAGAAAAATAGTTTGCATTAAAAAATAAAAACATCTTCCTTTGTAAAATACAGAAAGCTACAGATGAGTACAAGCATTCAAACTTGCATGATAAAAAGTATTATGGTCCGCAAGGGAGAAGGGCAAATGACAAAACATTTGCAACACCATTACACAACTACTATGGCTTACTTATGTATTCGGGACAGAAGTGTGTGTGATGATGTTACCGTGTCTGTGTCCTAATTTTGGCATCATCGTAATGTGTTCCAGATGCTACTGAGCTTGTATCAGAGTGGTACCTGAGACTATTTAGAGTATACTGTATTACTTGTATGATTTTAGAGTGATAGTGGTTCTTGATTCTTTACACTCCAAAGTCAAAGTTCTGGTTTCCATATCTTAAACACTCAAGGTATCTGAGGATTTTTTACCACCTATGAAATGGCTCACTGAGATTTAGAGGAGATTCTGCTCACATCTCATCACTGTTCAAACCAAGGCTAATAGGAACACCAAATCAGGCTTTCTCCATGATTCTGGAGTTCAAAGAGGTGGAAGTGATTCCGTTCTTCTTCAGGCAGATAGGGACAGCCATTTTTTTCCACCCATCTTTCAAAAATAAATTGATACTGAACATCTCTATAGTTTTTTTTTAATACTGATTATGTCACTATTTAATTTGTAGCAAGCTGCATTCTATTTGTATTGTTTAATTTTGAATTTTAACATTGGCAGAAGGCTTTTGGAAAAACTGCAAATAGCCGGGCTGTAAGACCATGATTTAGGGGAACGAGTCACTCATCAAGAATGAGGACCTCCTTGTCATCTTGGATTTGGACCTGTCGGGCAATGTTCTTGGCTTTCCAATGGCCATTAGCATAGATAGTCTTTATAGTACCATCAGGGTACTCTCTTCTTTTTGAAACAGCAGTTTGGATCTCCTTTTGCCCATTACGAAACTGGATGGTTTTAACTCCATTTCTGTAAAGCAATAAATAACATGTTCAACTTCAAAGCACTTAGAGTCAAGGCACTTGCCCACACTAAAGGAGATCCCAGCAATAAGCACCTTTCACAAGTTTAGTAAGCCAGCCAGTAAGCCAGGAGGTTATCAGACAAGGATACAGTATTTAGCAGAGATTAGTTAGAATTGTTTGAAAAAGGTGCAACAGAATAGACAGAAAAGGTGCAACTGTAAGAATAGCTTATAGTTTGGTCTAGTCAGGACTCACAAATCTTGCACCACTAAAAGCCAGTGAAGATAACTGCTCTGCTTTAATAGTTCCTGACAAAGAAAAAGATGTGTTGACTCAAAATCATTGTCTCCAGCGTCCAGCCTATATCAGTCTACTTACTTACTTTTCTACTTTAACAACTGTACCATCTGGGAAAATGGTTTTCTCAAGACCTCCACCATAGCGACGTTTCACTGTCCGGTCTGGAAAGATGATTTCTTCGGTACCATCAGGATGGTACTTTTCTATTAACAAGGACATCATTGAAAATTCCTTATAAACCTAATTGCCCACAGCCTCCCAGTATGAATGTATCATGAATAAAGTACGTACAGACAACCATTATATATAATGATCTATCAACAGCATGCCATGGCAGATTTCCAGGGCAGGAATGGTGGCACATTGGAATCCTAAACTGCAGCTCCCTCATTAAGGGAAGATGCTTTACATATGTTGCTTTCCAAACAGAAAACAGGTGAATAGAATATGCACAAATAGTCAATGTTGTAATATAGAAGCAAGCTATTACACATCCTAATATTATTTCACAGTCGGTCTTTCTGAATTGTTCCCTCCAACTGTAAGGCTAGCATACAATGTTGCCTAACTATTAACATCAGACATCAACGTTTTACAAAAGAAGTTTTCTCTATTAAATCAAGAAAGGGGACATTATACCTTACATTGCAATCATGATAATATGCATAAATAATAATTACTTCAAACCAAAGAATGTGTAATCTCAAATAAATGCAATCTTCTGCCACAATGCCATAATTTTTACTTTCTTATAAAAGAAACCTGCAGAAAATCAGCATATGCAGACATGTTTCTGTTTATGTATAATAACTTATAAATGTGCTTTCTTTTTCTGGAGACAATCGGAAAATTTCTGCTGATTCTAACACAGCCAGCATATCACTATGGGTTCATAATACAAACTGCTGCATCTTTTTGTTTATGTCTCCCTGCCATAGTCTCATTCCAGACAGACCTTCTACTGTGAACAGTCCCAGAAATGTCTATTGAAGGGCAATATGGAAGTTAATATAATATATGAAAAATATATTGCCTCTATCAACCCAGTACGTTTCATAGCCTACACAGGTCTTCTGAGTCTATTTTGGTGGACATTCCATAAAGAGACTGGTACAGAAGCATGCCAATTCTAGTCTGAAGTTATATTGCTACCTCTATCAACTGGGCCCCCTGTAGATCTATTGGATTATAGTTCCAGTGGCTGAACTAGTTTGGGATAATGGAAGATATAGTTCAACACATCTGATTAGGGGAGAGTAGTCTATTATCTATTATCTAACATTTGTGGATGAAGTAGGTTTAAAACCTAATATACCATATAATATTTGTGGGAACATCACATACCAATCTGATCATTAGGAAACTGCAGCACCTCCAAACCATCTACATAAATAGTCCTGGTTGCCTGGGCATCTGCATAGTAATAAATCTGAAAAAAGAGTGAACAAGTCTCAGTTACTTACCATCCCTTCCTCCAGATATCTTGGGTAGTCACAAAATATTTCCTTTTGTTTAATATCTTTGTGACAAAAGTAATTCAGTACATAAAAAACTAGCTGCATTAATTGCATGGCTAGTTTGCAATGGTGTGGATTTCTTTCTGTTGTGGTGTCAAGATTGAGAATGGAAAGAAACTGTATTGAACCAGTAGCCCATGAATACATTTTGGAAGATGCTCCAACCAGTATGTCTAAGGGTAGGGTGGGGAAGGAACAGGAGGAACCACTGTGTTTTTCAGTTCAAGGGCTTTGTATGCATATGCAAACATTGCACTCACTATTAATATGGCAGCTGACCTCAAGTCCCAGTATTCTTCAGCAGTCTAATTAAAATGCGGCTGCTAAAATTATCTCTTTGGATACAATAACAGCCCTCAAGAATATTTTTCTCCAACCTCATGCCCTCCAGACTGTCTGCAGGCTAGGGCTGATGTCTCCAGTTCGATTTTTAAATACATCTTCAGGCACCCTGGGAAGACTGAAGGGTTGTACAGCAAAGATGGCCAGAAGGCTGAGTTGACTCTAGCAGGAGATCTCCGGATTGTTTACAACAGACCAACAAGGATTTCCTATTTTAAAGGACTTAACAAGAGTAGTCACAAAATGACCCTGACTTAAACATTATACAGTACTAACCAAAATGATTAAAAAAAAAAAAAAAGCTTACAGAACTCCAAACAGATTGGCCAATGTGGAAATGTTGTGAGTTGCATTCAGCTCTGCTATTCACAAGAAATGCCTGTATTCATGGGCTACTGGTTTGAAATGCCTTAATTCTAATTAATTGACTCTTATACTAAGCTCCATCTTGCTGTTAAATAAATTTTTTAAAAATCATTCTGCAAGCCTGAAATTGTCACACCCTTTGGTTCAGGATATGCAAGGGTTTCATTCAGTTAAACCCCTTTGCGACCCTTCCCATGACCAGCAGAAGCAAAATAAATGGTGCAATACTCTTGCTGTGCATGGTTGAAATGGGCTGACTATAAAAGTGTATGCCCAAAGAAATGTGTTCATATTTTGCTGCAACAAAATGACATGGTCTGATATTTATCTTCTTTTCCCTCAAGATTAATCATTCAGAATTCAACAGTCCATTGCTAAAACTCTAGCTTTAAAGCAGAGAGATATAAATAAATATACTCACCACTGTCTGATCTGGTAAAATCTTCTTAATATCGCCATTGTAAAAAGTAATAGTAGTTGTCTTTTTATCGGTACTAATTTCCATCTTTGTACCATTGGGGAATGTAGTAATTCTGCGTCCATCAGTGAATAGCTGCTTCACCTTTAAAGCAAAGACTGAGATTGAGAGACTATGCATACTTCCCTTCTTGTATGGACAGCCATAACTCAACAAATGTCACACTTAAAAGGTCTTATCTACACTAGAAAGTACTGTTTTGGTCTCTTCAGAACAAATTTGGCCATTAGAGGGTTCCATCTGAGCCCTGGAAAAAGCAAGCTAGGTTAAATTTTCTCTCTATTCACAAGCTTGTAAATGAATGAGAGACAGTGCATTCTGCAATCACCCTGCCTCTTTGACAACATTTTACAAGGAGGCCAAGAAAGTGTCCTTCACCATTTGTATCACCGTGTCTGTTTCCAACATTCTTATACCATTTTCCTTTCCATTAAAAAAAAAAAAATCTGTTAAGGAGGAAAAAAAATGTAACTTTTGCACAAGGCCTTGTGACTGGTAGAACAGAAGTCCTCCATTTGGAAGCTGCCGGAGTGTTCAGATATAAGAACCCCAATGTCCCATTTCAAGTTGTGTTACAATTCAACTTTATGTTCTTGGGTGGGGAAAAAAGTTGCTAGCACTTCTACCCTGGAGATGTCTTCCCTTTGCAAAGGAGTAAGGCAAAGGGAAAAGAAATCCATCTTGATGAGAACTATTCTTCTCCTTCTCCTTCATCATCATCATCATCATCATCATCATCATCATCATCA